GAGGGGGAAAACAAGGAGAAAGGGAAGGCAACAAACATATAAAAGAAAAATCATTCAAGTGTCATTGGAAATTAAGACTACAGGTTTGATGTCACTTTTCCACATTATTCAAGCACATTTTCCGCCTTGCTAGCTTTTATCTTCACAGCAGGCCAACAAATTTGGGATCAAGTGGGAGAGAATGATAGGAGAGAGAGGAGAGGAAAAGGCACAGATGCTGAAACATTAACTCTGGATCAGCACGTTTACCAATTTATTCTCAAATACAGTCAAACCTCGATTATCCAAAACAAGGTCACGTCTTGCACAACATGTATTAATTGCACAGGAAATCCCACTCTGTTATCCATTATTTATTTCCCCTCATCCCCTAGTTTCAAGAGGATAATCAAGATTTGATTGCACCCTGTGTCACTTCGTATCTCCCCACCTACAGAAAGTGACAGGCCAAACCAAGTTAACTCAGAAGTTCTACTGAGAACAGTCACAATTATTACTTGCAACAAAGAGGGCACTATTACTACATGTAACATGAACAATTTCTTCCCAGAAAGCTTCCCCTCATCATTTAGCTGAGGTCTGTTGGGAGTATGGCATTTAGGCGCTTTTGAAAATCCTATCAGGCATCCATCTGCATCTTTAGGCCCTAAATACCTTTAAAGATCTGGCCCTAGGCTCTTTAGGGCAGGGACTGACACTTTTTTGCAGTGCCTAGCACAAGGCCCCAGACTCCAGAGGCACAAATGTATTAAGACAGTGCTTAAACCCCCACAATTCTTCTCAAACTGGTCACCACTTTAAGTTTGCCTTTCAGACTGAACTAGTACTTACCAAAGAATGAAGAAACAATGTAGTATTTTGAAACATTTTACTAAGAAAGGATGACTATTTACCATACAGTAACCCTACACTATACGGGTCTTGGTTTCAACAGTATCTCGTATATAAAGGGCAAGTTATTTTGTGCCATTCTTTATATGGGGCCTTGAACCATCAAGAGCTACCTTTCCTATATCACCTTTTATACAATATTAACAAATTAAGTTAACACAAAAATCTAAGCAGCCCAATGGAACAGCTGCATTAGTTCTTATTAGTTCACTTAGCACTAGATGTATCTAGGCTCTTTCTGGAAACTAGCTTTCAGAACACTTTTCATCTTAATGAACTTCTACAAAGCTGTCAGCTGGATACTCAACAACACAAAAGATGAAAATAGCTCGATCACTAAAAATAGCAAATTCAGGACTTTATTTATACAACAGACCAATAAAGATACAACCACAGCAACTAGTCTTTCATCCTCATATACTTTTGACCACAAAAATTGAAGTGATTTTTATTCGTATCTATTTTGGAGCAATGGTACTAGATCAGCTGAGATTCTAAGCAAACAACCTTTATTCTTCCATGAAAGAGCGGTTTCAAAACTGCACAATGCCAAGAGAAGAACTGACATTAACTCCAGACCCTAATACATCATAGGGAAATAAAAACAATATGCCAGCAACAGCATGTCAAGCAAGTTTAAGAAATATTTCATCTTTTCAATGCACTGTTCATTGAAGAACTTGATGGAGGTTATTGAGCCCATTTAAAAATGAGGACATTTTAAGAAATGACAGGTCACTAAATTGTCTCTACTTCAAGCCACATTTTTCTGTCGCCAATTTCCGTTCCTGTTTTCACATGCAATTGTTAGCTTTGCCTCATTTGTAACTCAAAATATTCATTCAATTCTGGCCTTGTTCCTCCGACCTAACTCTCATACTCTCCTGATGCTTCTGCCCCATCTTCCTCTTTCATGTCTCCATGCTCTTGTAGACCCTCTTCCCACATAATATTCTTTAGGTGCTACAGGCCCTGTCTTTTGCAATAGAGCTTTATTATAGCACCATGAAAAGTTGCATCAGCATGCAGCTTTAGTGTTGTAACTGAACATTTTCCTACGCAATTAGTGAACTGTGCCAAACAGATGTTAGCCCCTGCCCTGAAAAGCGAGCAATATAAAGGCTCAGGCATTGATAATAGTCACTTTAAAATTATTGTGGACCATTGGTCCTTATGGTTTCCAAATAAACATGCACTGAAGTGAATGGAAGGCCATTGACTCCAATGGAAGTTTAATCTGTCACAAAGGGTGAAAACCTGAAGCCTTAATTGAACAGAGGGTTAAGAGTTCTTAAGAGAGAATCTAAATCAGAGTCTATTAACATCCTTCTTTAAAAGACTAGCCACATTTTCACATCATGTAGACACAAATCAAGACAAAAAACAAAAATATTCAGAATAAAACTACAAGAGATTTTACAAAGGAGGAAAGGGATGCATAAGATATCCCAAAATATTTTCCATACCAAGAACACACTAATAATTCACCAAGACCATTATTCTCCCATATTTCTTTCAGTTTCAGTTTGTCAAGCTCACTCATATTTGTGACAGACAAATCCATCCATTTATCTTACTAAATATTGTGATTATATTTCTGTGTGGCAATATCCCATTCTATTTCCATGAATGTGGAAGACCTTACAATATTCAGCAGAACCTTGCTAGCTTTCCCTTTGCTATGCCACACACCTCAGATTTAATACTGAGCGGTAGTGAGCTCTCACTTTACTTTCAGTGCTTTTACAAAATATACTACAGAACATTTATTACTATATAGAATCACTTGTCAATGCCTTAATCTTTCTTCTTTTGAAATAAATTCTACATATCCCTTTACCTTTAAGGGAATTCAAGCCTTAACATATATATTGTAATGTTTCAGTCTTGCACTTTTAAAAGTTGTGTTTCTTTATTCACCCACTAATCTGTAAAATCCAGTAACGTGTGAGGATCTCCCAGACATTAGTAGAAATCAGCAAAGTTCTACTGTACTTAAACTATATTTTGAAATTAGAAGAAGCATCCAACCCATGTCACTACCTTCAACCACTGGCAATGCTCAGCATATTAAGTTTCCACCAAAAAGAGTTTTCTTCTCAGCTCCATCCAATTTAGAGACAAAGGAAATCTAGTAATCTTTAAAACAGCTATATTTTCCAATAATGGCCACCTAAGAAACAGGACTTGCTGCAAACAGCAGCAGCAAAAAGGGGAACTTGGAGGAAATAAAATTGATTTGGTTCTGAAGAAGGTCTTTTCCGGTTAAAAGGGTGTGTATATGTTAACCACAAAAATTGATGACATTACTCCCTTAAAAAAAAAACCATACGATAAAGCTTACCTCAAGCAACCACCCAAAGGACCAACCAGCCGAGATCTTTAGCTAAAATTTTACTAGAAAACTTGGGGAAGACTTTAAGAAGCTACTTAAGAAAGTCAGAGATTTTCCTTAATGAAGGTGGAATCCTTAGTGGAGGACTCTGTAGTTTCTGCAATCTCAGTTCCATGATACTGCAGTTCTGATGTCAGTAATTTACGGTATCAGTGACATAACCAGGTTTCTATGGGATGAACGGTCTAAAAATCTAACAAAATGCTTCATAATCAGACACAGTTGGGAAGTACGATCAAAAGAATTAGATATAAAAATATTACTCATGAAACATACCTACTAAATTATAGGCTGTTCCCAATACTAGGAACTACATTACTAGCATCTCCCACCCAATGTCACATGGGAAATGTAGTCTCTATATCACCACAACATATGAAGACCATCCCCAGCCACATACCTATGAGGCACGTGTTCCTAGCTTCTATTGCGACACAGTAGGACTGCTAAATCATGACTTACAACATGATCAAAAATATCCCAGTATTTTGTAATACAAACCTGAACAACAACAGCAGCAGCCGCCTTGTTCTACAAGCTGGTCACCAAGTATGGCACAGAATAAAAGCCATTTCTCCCTGCTACCACTACATTCTAACCACAGAGAGTAAGTCTGCAATTAACCTAGTAGTAAACCAGCTGAATCTGAGGCCCTGAACAATTATGTTGCAGCTGATCAGTCATTGTTTACAGTATAGTTTCCTATGAAAATGTGTTTAAGGGAAGGGGTAGGGAGAGAATGTAGGTTTGAAGGTGTACATGAAGTGGACACTCGGGCAGATGGAGGTTACCAGAAGCAGGAAAACTCCTATGTCAGATCGAAGTAATCTAATCTTTCTCTAAAATATAAACGCAACAGCAGATCCTGAGAGTACATCGGGTTGCATTTAAAAAAGAAGAAACAGAAATAGTTTGCAAATGATTTGCCCCACTTATTGCCCACCATAAGAAACAAACCTACAACTTTATCTGGAAGAATAAAGAGAAGGAAAAAATTAAGGGAATTGAAGTCAGCCACAGAAAACAGGTTGACCTGTTCTAACATGAGCTAACCTGAGTTCTTCATAGAGCTGTGAAAAAAAAAGAAACCCTGTTAAATATGAAACCACACATATATCTCAACTGTCTCAAGTATTGACAAAGGGAAGACTCTTGAAGGAGATTTTAAAATGTCTCGTTCAAAAACAAGATAAAAATCCCAAGAGAGATTTTTTTTAAAAATTCCTAAAAATTAACCCAAAATGAAACAGTCATCCCATAAGTGAACAGGCAGGTACAAACATACAAATAAACAATAAACCGAAAGAAAAGGAATTCAACCTCCACCCTCAAACAAGATAATTACAAGCCAGAAAAACCATGTTGAGGTGCTACAAAGAGACTGGAGTGAAAAAAACCAAACACTAGACAGAGAAAAAGTCACATTATTGTACTTTTCTTTATCAAAGTTTCCCCTTTGGATCAGCAAGACATACATGAACATCCCCAGAACAAGTGCCCCCTCCTCCTTCTCCAAATCAGAAAAATGAATGGCTTTACCCAGTAGCCCAGGTGTAACCCTAGAGTTCAAAATACACTCTCAATCCCATCCTCCTCTCCTAAAGAGCACCAATACCCCTCAGATCCACTCTAATGCTAAGACTCCGTTCTTCGACTCACCCTTCTCCCTCTCAGCATCCAGCCTTTTCCCCCACCCCAAGACCCTCAAACTCACCTCATCAGCGCTCAGCTCCTCCATCGCTTTCCTCTTAATGGTGAAAGTAGTTTGGGGGCTCTTTGCTTCTCTAGGGGACGAGAGCTTCGGGGGAATTCGGTCCTGCTGCCTCTTGCCCCAGGGGTGTCTCAGAATTGCATAGTCAGAGGTGAAGCACAACAATACAGAATTCACCCTCTCTCTGCTTGCCACTCAGGCTAGGAGCAGCAAACCACTCCGCCAACTGCAGCTCAGGTCCTCTCAGTGGCTGCTGCCTCCCTGCGCCCCAGCTGTGACTGCTGCACCCTGCCCCAGCTCCAGGCGCCCAGCTCTTGTTCCCCGTTCTGCTGTACCCTCGCTCAGATGCCCTCAGCTCCTGCTTCCCCCCCACCCCCCCGCTTCTCCAGGTGCCTCCTTCCCCTGTTGCCCCCAGCTCCTGCTGCCCCCTGTACTGCAGGAAGGGCGACACCAGTTCCTGCCTGCCTCAGCCCTGCCCGCTCAGTGCCCCGCCCGGCTGCCCCCTCGGCCGCTTGCCCGGCTCGCTGCCCCTGCCCCACACAGAGATTATTCATCAAAACAAGAAGGCACGGCGGCCATCTTGGGGAGAGATCACGTGAGCCCGCCCGGCTGCTCCGACAGAGCTGAGCACGCCGTGCCCCGCTCCGAGGCAGCCAATAGCAGCAGGAGGAGGCGGCTGCGGGCGGCCACGGCCGCTGAGGGCGGGGGGGAGCGCTCCGGCCGCGGGCACGGTGAGGGGAGGGTCCGGCCGCTGCGCCATAGCAACAGGGGCGGGGCAGTAGGGGGCGGGAAATGGGAGAAACTGGCATTTGGGCGGGGGAGGAGAGAGAGGCAGCGGGAGAGCGACTGGGAGGGGCACAGCCCGGGGGGTGTTGAGGCGGGATATGATGGAGACGGAAGGGGAGAGGTGGGATGGAAGGGGGAGAGGTGGAAGGTGGGAAGGAGGGAGGGGAGGATGGAAGGGGCAGAGGTGGGGTGGCAGGTGGGAGAGGTGGGAGGAAGAAGACGAAAGGGGGAGAGGTGGGGAGGATGGAGGTGGAAGGGGGAGAAGTGAGATGGGAGGATGGAGATGGAAGGGGAGAGGTGGGGAGGATGGAGATGGAAGGGGGAGAGGTGGGAAGGAGGGAGGATGGAGACAGAAAGGGGGAGGTGGGAAGGAGGGAGGATGGAAACGGAAGGGGGAGAGGTGGGAAGGAGGGAGATGGACGGGGAGAGGTGGGGAGGAGGGAGGATGGAAGGGGGAGAGATGGGGTGGAAGGTGGGAGAAGTGGGAGGATGGAGATGGAAGGGGGAGAGGTAGCATGGAATGTGGGAGGATGGAAGGGGGAGAGGTGGGTGAAAGGTGGAAGAGGTGGGGAGGATGGAGACAGAAGTGGGAGTGGGGTGGGAGGGTGACCAGATGTCCTGATTTTATAGGGACAGTCCCAATATTTGGGGCTTTTTTTTATATGGGCTCCTATTATCCCCCACCCCCATCCCAATTTTTCACACTTGCTATCTGGTCACCCTAGAGGGTGGAGATGGAAGGGGGAGAGGTGGGAAGGATGGAGACAGAAGAGGGAGAGGTGGAAAGTGGGGAGGATGGAGACGGAAGGGGGAAGGAGGATAGGTGGGGTGGAAGGTGAGAGAGGTGGGGGGGATGGAGACAGAAGGGGGAGAGGTGGGAAGGATGGAGACGAAAGGGGGTGAGGTGGAAGGTGGGGAGGATGGAAGGGGGAGAGGTGGAAGGTGGGGAGGATGGAGATGGAAGGGGGAAGGAGGAGAGGTGGGGTGGATGGAGACGGAAGGGGGAGAGGTGGAAGATGGGGAGGATAGAGACAGAAGGGGGAAGGGGGAGAGGTGGGGTGGAAGAGGTAGGAGGATGGAGATGGAAGGGGATGCAAAGGGGAGGGGAAGGAAAGGAGAAAGAGAAAGAAGTGTGAAAGAAGGAAACGAGGAAAAGCAAAGAGGTCTGAAGAATATTTTAAACTGCCTCCTGATATGTCTGCAATTGGAAGTAACAAGTATGAAAAACTCAAGCTTTTATTTAAGGGAGGGAGGGGGAGAGTTTCCCTTTTACTTTTGTTTAACCTGTGAGACAACAATGTTATTGTCATTCTAACAAGAATTGTTTGTAGGTGGTGAGGTAAGTTCTCCAAACCGCTGAAGTGCTTGTTCCCTGACTCTAAACATTCAATAACTTCCAAAACCCAGGCCATATTTCACACCCTTCCCTATTTTGGGTGACCTGCTGTGTCAGTTGCTGAATACATATTTCCTGTGACAGTAACCACTGGTGTCATGTTTAATTTACCTTGGTCTGCCGCAGCTTTGTTGCTTTTGTGTGGCTTTCCCTCCAGCCTTTGTGTTTATCAGAAAAATTCACATTCCTTATGGGGGTCAATAAAACTATGCTACAACCTCACTAGAAACAAATCTGTTGAATGGCGTGTATCTGATTTCAGCATGGTCAGATATCATGGGGTGCAAATCCAGTGCTTGGAAAATCAATGGAAGTTTTGCCATTGACTTCTTGGGAGCAGGACCTCATACCTCAGTGTATGGTAGCAGTGGGCAATGGCGTTCAGGTTAATCTGTCAGCAATAAGTGTTACTACCATGCCATAATCCGGTTTCCAGAGTTTGTATGAAGGCCTTTCAAACATTTATTGCCATTTAAATGGCCCCCCACTTATCTAGCCTGCTTTATGGTGTGAACAAAGGGAGGAAAAAAAGGATTCAGTATTGCTCACTTTCTGTTCCATTATCTCAGTGTTTTTCTATTAACTAATTATATAAGTCTTATGACACCCCAGTTGGGTAGGTGAATTATCCCCATTGTACGGAGGGGAGAAACTAAGGCACAGATAAGAAACCGACTTGTCCTCAATCATGCAGCGATTTAATAGTGGAGCCAGAATAGAACCCTTGCTCTAACTTCTGAGGAAAAGTGATGGGGCAGATACAATATTTAGAGGCCCCCTAGTCATGACGCATTCTAGCCCAGAGTTGCTCCAAAGAGACGGTCATGTTGAGCCAAACAATGGTATTGGTCTCTTGGGGTTAAATCCCAGCAGGAGTTTCCACAGCGCATCTGAGAGAGGGTCTCCCACAGTTGAGGTATCAAGTGCAGTTGAGCTAACTTAGGCTCAGAACCTTAAATGAGACTGGGTCTCTTTTATGAGAGAAAAGAAAAAAGGGATTGCTATCTAAAAACCAGGATAGAGTGGCAGAAAACCTGCTTTGTTTATGTATGGCTTATTTTGGAGTATACAGATTTAAACTGCATAAAAAGAATATAAACTTATGATTTATAAATTTTTGATTGCATAAAAAATGTAAAATAAACTTGAAACGTTAGTGTGGGTTTTTCCTCTGCTTTATGTGAAATGCCTGCAAAGTTTCTATTGAATAGCATGGATCATGGTCTTGCCATGTCTATGCAGCCTCTCTTTTATATGAAATCAAAATAATCCCCATTCTATGGCCACTAACTATTCTGTTTGGGATTCTTCTTTAGAGGCATACCCAGGCCCGCCAATGGATGGGGGGGCCAAAGGGGGCAATTGCCCAGGGGTCTGGGCAATTTAAAAGGGCCCGGGGGCCCGCAGCCACCACCACTGCCGCTGGCAGAGCAGCAGAGCCAAGGTAGGCTTCCTGCCCGCTCTCACTCTGCGCTGCTCCCGGAAGTGGCCAGAACAGCCATACAGCCCTGGGGGGGGCAGGGGGTCTCCGCACGCTGCCCCCGCCCCAAGCGCCCACTCTGCAGCTCCGATTGACCAGGAACTGTGGCCAATGGGAGCTGTGGAGGCTGTGGGCAGCAGCACGCAGAGACCCTCTGGGCCCCCCCCGCCTAGGAGCTGCTGCCAGAGGGATGTGCCAGTCGCTTTTGGGAGCCACCCAAGGTAAGCACCACACCCCCTGATCCCCTTCTGCCCCCAAACCCAGCCTGAAGCCCACACCCCACACCCAAGCTCCCTCCCAGAGCCCGACTCCTCACCCCCTCCCACACCCAAACTCCTTCCCAGAGCCTGCACCCCGCACCCTCTCCCACATCCAAACTCCCTCTCAGAGCCCGACCCCTCACCCCCCCACACCCAAACTCCAGCCCAGAACCTGCACCGTGCACCTCCTCATGCACCCCAACCTCCTGTCTCAGCCTGATGAAAGTGAGTGAGGGTGGAGGAGAGTGAGTGACAGAGGGAGGGGGGATGGAGTGAGCAGGGGGCGGGGCCTTGGAGAAGCGGTGGGGCAGGGAGGGGGCCTTGGAGAAGGGGCAGGGCAAGGGTCTTTGGGTTTGCACAGTTAGACAGTTGGCAACCCTACCAGGCAGGGCGTGTGGAAGGCTTGGGCCGTGCCGGAAGAGCGCACCCAGCAGCTCACTGAGCACCAGTCAATGCAGTCGCAGCGCCACCTAAATGTCAGGTGGACTTTGTCCACATGGGCACGCCTTGTGCGTGCCTGGGGGCCCACTGACTGTTCTGCCCTGGGGCCTGAAATTGCTGTTGGTGGGCCTGGCCATACCATAAATGTACTTCTAGCTTTCTGATAAGTGGCCTTTGTTTCAAATTAACATATCCGTGAGTTATATGTATAGGCCCACATTGATATTAAAATGATCTAGTATTTAAATTTGAGATGTTTTACAAACATAGTAAAATAGATACGTGCACACAATCCTCTCCACCTCTACCTTGTCATGTTGCTGGAAACAGCAATCCCCATCTGTCAAGGGGCCCTCAGTTGTTTCCTAGTAATCCCCTTTCAGTTTTCCTTCTTAAATATGGGCTAGTCTACACTACAAGTGCTACATAAGTGTGGCTGCACCAGTGTAGCACATCTGGTGAAGACGCGCTATGCCAACAGGAGAGAGCTCTCCCGTCAGCATAATAAATCCACCTCCGTAAAAGGCAGTAGCTATGTGGGCAGGAGAAGCTGTGTCATAGCACTGTCCACACCAGCGCTTATGCGCTTACGTCACTCTGGGGGATGGCTTATTCACATCCTTGAGCGACCTAAGTTAAACCGAAGTAAGTTGTAATGTAGACCTGGCCCAAATAGACCTTTCAGTGGTTGTCCCTGATCTTTTTCCCTTGTGTAAGAATAAAAATTTACATATTCTCATCTACTTGTAGCTAGTCTCTCCATTCAGTCCTTTAATGGCTTTTAGTATCACCATAGAAGACATCCCCATTTTCCCCAACCTTTTTTATTTTTCCTGGCTTTGCATTTGAATAATCATGAATTATAATGAGAACAAACCACTCAAGGTCTGTCTCTGCACAGGGAGACTGTGTTCATTTTCAGCTCTATAGCTAAGATCAATCATTACTTTCCTAATCTATATGGGTGGAAAAGAGGATTTTTTAAAAAAAAAAAAAGAAAGAAACCCAGCTC